TGTACCAATGCTGAGCAGAGGTCACTGCCACTTAGGAAAGAAGTTTTGTAGGCTGAATCTACAGAACAGAAACTCTGGCATATGATGCTCCTCTCTGGGCCAGGGCTGAGTGTGTTTGGGAGGAGGGATGTGCAGCTGACCAGGATGAGTAGCTGTGCAATCTAAGGATCTTCCTCTTCCTTTGTTTTTATTTTCCCCTTCCCCACATTTATTTATTCATCTCTTCCTTTCTTGCTTAGGTAAAGAACAGTTCCTATTCCGCCGCCTATTCCAGATCCATTTAGGACTGTCACCTCTGACACAGAGAGCTCCAGGCACAGCAGAGCTCTGGAATAACTGATGGTTGAAAGGCACTATTTGGGAGTGCTGATTGTATGCAGAGCATTGCCCAACTGAACCCCTCTATCTAATGACTTGTCATTGTAAATATTTTATAACCCTTTTTTAGTCTTGAAAATTGGCTTATGCTGATATCCAAAACTGCAAGTTGGCGCCACAATTTTAATCGAATTGTGAAAATATTCCAAGACCCTGCTTCATCTCAATAGTGGCTGTGGCAAATTCCCTAGAACTAATAAAACTCCCAAGTGGTCTTATCAAGATGTTGTTGTGTATTGCTTCAAATTATGGACCAGAAGTTTTGCATGATTCTATGTACTAGATGTACTCTCAGAGGAAGGACTCTGCTAAAGTAACTCATTTACTTCAGAGAAAACCACATAAACCTTTCCCATCAATTTCTGTCTTTTGATACTAACCTAAAATAATAATACCAAACTATCCAAAGGTGTTGAAGAACAGCTCAGAAGCAGCTCTGTTTTAAGACTGTTTAGACATAAGCAAAAAATAGAGAGTTTGTCCATGCTTTGAACACAAGGTAGTTTTGCTTGCATTTTGCAAGTGAGGCTGCTGTTGTGAATTTTAAGTGACACTTTCGTTTTGCCATCAATATCCATCTTCTGTGGCACATACAGCTGACAATAAACTTTGCTGTGGGTTTGATACATCATGCCTTTATTTGTGCATTTCTTCTTCAACTAGAAATTAATAATTAAAATATTCCCACCTTTACAGCAGTTAGGAAGGTGAGCTTAGTGTAGAAAATTTACTCATGTTATTGTTCTTTTGTGGCTTTTAGAATTGGTGTATAATAACTCAAATAAAGCACTTATTAGAGAGGTAGCACTGAGATATACTGATCATACTGATAGAACTACTGTGATATAACAGTCTAGTAATATGAGTACATTTTCTTGCATATCAAGCCTGAAGTCAAACCCTTATCATAATTAAATTGTAGTTTTGCATTATGAACAGTAACACTATACAGAGTTTCAGACATTAGAAATATTCAGTCTGTTCACAGGGGGCTAGAACAGGATTATATCCTTAGAGTGTAATAGTGCTTTGTTTCTTCTAATTTTAAATGTCTCAAGGGAATGGAGCTTTCACCGTTTCTGTAGAGACACTATTTCACAGCCCATAGATCTTTCTGTCAGGAATATTCACCTTACAGTCTCACAGATTTTTTTCTTCTATGCAAGTTCAGTAGCATTTTTAGCTCCTCTGGATAGCTTTATATGAGAGAGGTGAAAGGAGAGTAATTACACAGAGAGAGAGCAAAAACAGTGAAGTCTGAAGAAAGCTCTAAATTACTTCCCCATTAAAAAAATCACAGCACCACAGACTGAATGTTGCTCTCATCAGCACCTTGAACAGTTTGAATCCTGTTATGATAAATGTAAACTTAAAAGGATCTTAATGTCAAATGGAGCAGGAATTTTACAAAACCAAGAGAAATTTCGTCTAGAGATAAGAGTAAAATATTGCTTTGATTTGATTCTCTCTACTAGATTTCCTCCCTTAATCTGATATATCGGCTTTAAACCTCAAGGAATTTGTGCTGGTTTATAGAGAGTGAGACCTTGCAATGAAACGGAGAAGTGGGAGTTAACTTTAAAAACATACTGGCTTTCTCCCAAGCAGTGAGTGCTGACAAGTATAACCATATTACTAAAATCACATCAGGAATGTGATATATTAAATAAAAACATGATCATCTACAGCCAAAGTAGTTTGTATTTTATCCATGAAAATGCATCATGTTACATCAATCTGCCCAAAAAAATGGGGCACATCAGAAAACAATGTTAAGAAGGCTTTTAAAACACATCATTGAGATTACAGCACCTTTAAAAATAAACAGCACTGAATACCAACACAGGTAAAATGTCATTGTGAAGCCCAGATCTGAAATTCAACAGCATGCTTTATAGCTTTCCAGTGTGTGATAAAATCTGTTCACCAGATGTACTATCTGTCTCCTGTGTAGCATACTTGAGCATCATCTAGGTCTGAGGCCCATTTATTTCATGTAAATGCCTTTCCTGTGCACACCTTAGGGCGCCCTAATTCTCCATTTTATTTCAGGCACTGTACAGGGTACCATCTGGTAGTGTTAAGCTCATCTCCTTTTATTGCACTATTGCAGGGGCTATATCCAGCCCTATAGCATTCTTTCAATGAAGAGAGAGTTCAGTTACTGCCAGCTATTTATTTTTGCCAGAAACACTATACACATGCAGAGTTCACATGTATATCAGTCTCACCTGAAAAGCAGGTCACTGCTTTTCACCCCACGTGGTTAAAAATAACTAAATAAATGGTGTCTTGCTGGTATCAGGTACAGCAGCAGTTCTGGCATGGTTCTCCTTAAGATGGTTAAGAGTAGGAGATCTTAGTAATGATGTAATGATGTCTCTCTAGTATCCTTACTTTTATTAGTTCTATTAAAATGAGAAAAAAAAAATTATGTCATGCCTTAAAAAAGCACCTTACAGGAATAGCTTAATATTTAAAGGTAGCAATATACCTTTCAACTGTACTTTGTTACAAAGTTCATTTGCTGTTTTAGGCACAAATTTACTTCTTTATGTCACATCCCCACTTGTTTATTCTTGTAAATTATTGCCATTAAAAAAATTCACCTTTAAATTGAAGGTATAGGAACCTTCATCCATTTCTAGTTTTCTTCACTGTCTGCCATTTTTAATCATATCTCTCCTTTTGAGTCTTTGTCACATATCTTAATGGCCTGATTTTTTTTAAAATCCCTTTCGTGCCAGCAATTTGTGCTCTTGGTTATTGCTACTTAAACATCTAACTACCTGCTTGGGCCTACAAACGAGGGAGTTGGAAGTCTAAGTGACAATAATTACTTCCCTGGCTTTCATGTGCAAAAAGGGAGCATGGTTTAAATTCAAACTTAAAATTTTGCTGGGTATATGTTTGAAGTATGTCAGGTTTGAAAGTGCAATGCTGCTGTCTTCTGTAGAACCTAATTCTACTTTCCCTTAAACTCTGATTTCCCTTAAACTGTGCTGATTTCAGAATTGCTTCATGCCATTAAGGCAGAGCAGAATTACCCTCACTGCTTCAATTCTAGCAATGTTGGAGAGGAAAAAATCCCACCTTATCATGATGGAAACATGATGGGAAACATTCAGCACCAAGTTAGATTCCCTACAACAAAATATGCAAGTTTCAGTGTTTCTTAGATGTGTGAAAGAGATTCCATTCTTGATGTCAATGTCAGCATGAATGAAAAAATGAACTGCTTTTCCCCCTCAGGCTTTTTAAAAACTATTCAAATCATATTTTCATTGCATCCCTTTCCCCAAGTGTTTTCTCTCTAGGCAACATCAGGACCAGAGTAAGGTTAGTTGGATGCAGCATAACACCTCCCCTGCTCCCTTCATCTTTAAAGCTCTGTCTCCTCTTTGGAGCAGCAGTTGGGTAGGATATTGTCCTTTGAAGGTGTATGGGTGTCACTTGGGAGCAATAGTTGTGTTAGGCAATGCTTCTAGATGGAGCTCAGGCAGTGTCAGTTCTCCAGTAATCATAGCAAGGGGTGGAATCTGTCCATTGTCACCCTGGGCAATGGCAAATTTTACCACCTAGTGAAAAGCAGAAATGTTCCAGTGTGTTTCCAGGCTTTCTGCACACTCTGGCTGATGCCATTTCACTGGTAGCACTCAGTTCGCTTGTCACTCTTTTCAGCTGTGAAAACCTGGATGAAACATTCATGTGACTGAATGTTCCCAGGAGCTGGGCAGTGGCAGTTTTGATCCATCCTCAAACAAGGCAACAGATGAAAGAAATTGAGGAGAGGGGAGATTTGAAAGTATTCATTTTAGATAAATATTTGAGTTACTCAGCTGCCATTTCCAGTGCTGGAAATTGCTCTCTTTCTATAATCTGCTGCATATGACAAGGAGATGACAGCAGACTGCTTCAGAAAATTGCTTGGCTCATCTCTGGTGAGCAGCACAAACACACCATCATTTAAAAAAATCACTGTTAAATGCATTCTCCCCTTTCTCCTGACTTTCTCAAGTCATTGATTGTTAGTAGCCACAGCACGGCACTAATAGTCATTCAAAAATCCCACTTTCCAGATAAATAAATTATTACATAATGAAGCTTTAAAAAGGTGGAATTATGTTCCTTAGTGTGAATTATCTATGGTTTTAGTCCACTGGCAATGACAAATGTAGGTAGATTCACCTGGATTAGCTGTCTGTGTTGATATAAAGGACAGGTGAATGGAAATAATAACTCTCTTTATCATACATTGTTGTAGGAAGCGTTTATTTTTCTGTTTCTTGTCTCAGCTGAAATTGAGAGTACTGGATTGTGACTAAACAAGCTCTGATTCTTCAAAAAACAAAGTATGTTTTTTCTGGTGACGAAACCCAAAAAGCCTTCATATTTGCAGAACCACAGAATCACAGAATCACGAGGCTGGGAGAGACCTCCGAGATCATTAAGTCCAGCCCATGCCCTAACACCTCAATTAAACCATGGCACCAAGTGCCACATAAAATCTGTTTTTAAACACATCCAGGGATGGTGACTCCACCACCTCCCTGGGCAGACCATTCCAGTACTTTATTAGTATTTCCATAAAAAAAACTTTTTTCCTAATATCCCACCTGTATTTCCCTTGGTGCAGCTTGAGACTGTGTTCCCTCATTCTGTCAGCTGTTGCCTGGAGAAAGAGACCAACCCCCACCTGGCTACAACCACCTTTCAGGAAGTTGTAGAGAGTGGTGAGGTCACCTCTGAGTCTCCTTTTCCTGGAGGTCTCCATCTTCTTTAGCTTTCAAGTCACTTGTTCTGTAAAAATGTTAGTGACAATCTAAGTATGAGAACTCATTTGTCCCCTTCACCCATCAAACAGTTCATCTTAATGATTCCAAGCATATTCATCTATGAAAAGCCAAGTGTCTGAACAAGTCACCATAGACCTTAGAGGAGTCAGAGCTCAGAAATTCTGGCAGATAACTGAGTACTGAGATTTTCTATATACCAAGAAATGATGCTTTAAGGAAGGGAAAAGAACTTGGCAAGGTGTGATAGACAGGTGTGGGTGCAGCAGGGTACCAGACAATATCTGTTGAAAGACTGGAACCTTAAATATAATTAAGACTGTTCATTTGGCTTAGCAGAAAGAAAACTCATAGATTTTTATTGATAAAAATGCAAATGTGATAATTTGAGCTGAAAGGGAAAACATAGTGGCATACACTCATATCTACATTTATTTTCCATTAGCAAAATGCTAATTAGCCATTAATCATTTGATAATGTATATGTAGCAAAAAGCAGCTCAAAGTCAAATTGTCTAAATAAATAGCACAGTAGCCAGTGAAAGTGAAAAATACCATGATTCTTGCTAAAGAAGGAAAGTAGAAATCATTGTTTCCCCTCACAGAAACTGTAGCTGTAGCATACATACAGCTGTAGTTATGACACTGGGAATTATGTCCAGGTAGTCAATGTTTCCCTACAAGTGGCTGCAGTTAAGTGGAAGGAACACTAAAACAGAGTTACCCATCTCTGCAATCAAACTAGGAGAAAACTGGTGTGGGATTCATTGGACAGTGGAATTTGAGAGCATCACATTCCTGCAAAGGTTCCCTCTGAGCTGGTTTCCTGGTGCCAGTGACTTCTGCTCTGAGCTAATTTCTGCTCAGTTCCCACTGCACGTTTTTGCATTCATAGGCCCCTGGAGTGCTGTGCAGCCAGACCTGCCAGCATTGCCTGTTTATTTCAGTCTCTGGTATGATATTGAAAGTAACATCTCAGCCTGGAAGTATATTAAATGAAGTGTGGATGCAAATTACTACCAAACCATCTCTTCCGTTTTACAGAAGGGTCTTGTTTGATTGGTTCATTTTACAAGACTTAATTCTGTAGGATGGGCTAGGCATTTTTCCCATTATAAAAAATCCCTAATAACTAGTTCCACATCTGAGACAGTGAAGATTAAAATCAGTCATTGTGTAGTATATGAGAAGTAACTATTTTTCATAGGGTTTTTACTGTACATTTGGGATTATGATTTTATATTATGCAAATGCATTTTATGAAACCATAACACATAAATGTGTACTATTGTTAATACACATTTGCAGCCTAGCATGTGAGGCCTCCAAAAGAGCCATTCTGGTGTCTCTTCTCATTGTGTATTATGAATAATAAACAAAATGTAGTTAGACATATTCTATATTACAGAACAATAATAGTAAAAATTACATCCTGTCATTAATATGCATCAACAGCATGTATCCTGGTAGCTCAAAAAGACATCTCAATGTGAATGCATGTTAAACAAAAAGAAAAAGTTGTCTAATTCACAGCAGGAACAGGACTCTTTGAGACAGCTCTGATTGTTGTACTTGGAGGGAGGGATGGTAAACAAAATCCTTTTTCGTCATTTCTTTCAGCCTCACAGTGGCATTATCTTTGCCACTGCAGTCACTGCCTGCATGTTAGTTCCTGTGTCATATTTTACAAAGTACTTTAATAAGCCCCAAAATCCTTGTTCCTATATTTGTTTTCTGAAGAACTTCAAAGAACCAACTGGTGTGTGAGCAGTCTCTCTGCTACTGACATGCCTTGCCTGGGTGCTCTTCTAAAAGCACCTCATGCAATGCTTATGTTGATGAGGCCATTCAGACCGAAGATCATGGAATCACAACTATATATTCTTTCTTCTGGAAAAGGAAATAATTTAAATGTGTTTCTACTTCAGTCTGATTTTTCATTATAGGTGCAAAAAAAAATCACTATCAATATTCCTGAAAAAATGTTTCAACATTTGTTTATGATATACAGGTGTGATGCTATTTCCACTTCTTTCATGGATCTCAGAACTGTACAGAGTATCCATTTTCCTTTATGCAGTGGGCAAAGTCCCACTGGCCAGTTGTATTCTACTGTAATGTATAGAAATGCATCCCCCTGCCTCCTACCTGTTACCACTGCTTCCATGGAGTCACAGCTTATCAGCCACAAATCTGTGCCAACACAACAAACCCAGTACTCATCTAGTGTCATTTTTCATCTTTCTGATAGCCAGGAATGGAAAGGGGAAAGCCCATTATAGGCTTGAAAAATCTGAAAAAAAACCTACCTAAAACCAACCAGCCGAAAAACAAAACAAAACAAAAAAAAAAAAAAAAAGAAAGAAAATAAGAAAAAAAAGAGTCAGTAGAGGGATGGAACTGTTCTGCTGTACTCCACACAAAATAGGCACTTTCCTGGTGTTCTGTCTGGTAGAGCTCCTTCCAGTGTGATCCTGTCCATATAAGCTGAAATATTACAAAGGCTTTGAATGTCTTTTATAAGCTGAGCTGGCCACAAGTTCTGGGTGTTATTACTTGAATATAGTAGAGATTTAATTAGAACTGCCTTATAACCCTTTATCATAACAAGGGAAAAAGATTAACTTAATATCAAAGTTCATCAGGAAAATGTTACTTTAAGTCAAACATCTGCATTTTGAAGATTCTTACAGGTATTAGAGAAGATTCCATGTCTAGATGGTATTACAAGCATGATATTTAAACTCAAGCAGATAAACACTTGAAATTATATCTTCTGTATGATGAAATTTGCCTATTTATAAAGCTCTTTTTCTCGTTTTGAGGTTTCTATCCAACTGCAAAAAATGTTTGTAAAGGTAATTTCACCAGACATTTGGAGACTTTAAAGTGCTTTTCTATCCATATGGCTCTTTATGAATAGGTAATTTTTATCTGTGCTCTACTCAACTGAATGTTTATAAGACTGTCTCAAAGATGCCTGTTTAAAACTATAATTACCTTCAAATGACTAACATAAGATTTATTCATTTATCCTTTTCAGTACTTTGCAACTTATTCCTATTTCTGCTCCCTCGGTTTTGCTTCCTGTAAAATCCTAAATTTTTTCTAGTTTTCTGGGCTATTTGAATTAGACATTTTCACTTATCTGTATAAGTAAACAGTCTTATAAGTTTGAAACTGTAAATCATTCATCCTTTAAAAACTATTTCCTCATATTGCAAGTTCAATTCATTGAGGAAAGAAATAAACCTTGCTGTGGAATAGAATTTTATGCAATGTCATGGACACATTACCATTTGGATCAAAATTTTACATTGTGTCAGCCAGTAAACAGTATAAATGGTTCAGATTTGCAATAAATAATTGTCTATTAATACCTTGGCGTGGTGTAGCAAATTAAAGTCTCACTTCAGTAAGCACAGATGTAGGTAAGAGCTGGGGCCTAAAGAAAGCAACTGCTATGCAGCATTAGAGTAGAAAGAGCATCATGAAGCATTACTGCATCTTTCCAGCAATGAGAATAATGTATACAGATTTAAACAGTAATAGACGAACATAGGGGGGAGGTAGGTTGTAAGTGCATTTGAGTCTAATCAGGCAAGATTTAGAACCATTTGTTTTAGATGCTCTGGCAGATGCTTCCCTTGCAGAAGATTAAGAGAAGCATTTTAAAATACAGCTTTGTGTGCTGTTGCATACGAAACAGAGCTCATAATTCAGGATGCTCGGGACATTTGATATTCAGGGACCCCCTGGGTCATTACGTTGGGTCCGTTCCTGTTGTAGTCAAACAGCCCCCAAAATATTATCTATTTATTTTTTTTTGTTAAACTGCTGTATTTTGCAGCTTGCAGGTTGTTGCCAATTGTCTTGAGATTTTCACAAATTTAATAGCTAACTGAAATTTTGTCAAATTACTTCAGTAACTTCCTGCCCCACAGACTGTGAGCAGATGGTCCTGAATGATCAGTATCTGAAACTCATAGTTCAGTTTCTCAGTGTGGGTTATTTCTGTGAATGTTTTAACAAGCAGACATGCCACTACTTTAGTGCTGAAATTCAACACAAATAGTAGTATGATAATAGATTAATTAAAAAATTTAACTATATATGAACAATTAGATAGTAGCAATTATTTGAGATCTCCAGTGTGTAATATTGCCTCTCAGCTACCTCTAGTGATGTTCCCCATGAGCCATAACTGTTGTTACTCCAGTTTTAAGCGTGTTTTTAATTTTGTGTTACCAAGTCAGACCATAATCCCGTAACACAATCTAGTTTGTCCATACACTAATGGGAAGGTATTAATCAAAATATTGTTCTCTGTTGCATTAACTAAAGAGCAATATCTTTTAGAGCAATATATGTTTTAGAAATATCTTTGAGACCAGGCAGTCTTATAAGCATTTGATGGAGTAAAGCACAGATAAAAATTACCTATTCATAAAGAACCATATGGATAAAACACACTATTTCTTACATCTTCTACTTCTTTCTCCTTATTCTCTCATGTTTTTAATGGCTTCTTTGTCCATGAGTGTTTGAAAATGCACCTCAGTTTGCAGGACTGCAAGTCGTCCATGGTCTGTGCTTGAATGGCTGAGTAATCTCTCTCATTTTCTTTGTCACGTTGTGTTCATGTCCTTGGCGTCTGGAGCACGAGTCAGTGCGTTTGTAAGCAGAGTACAGGGTCTGTTGTTTTGTACATCTGAAGCTGGTTGTGCTAGCTGCACAAGGACAAGGGCTTAAAAATCTTCCTCCAGTCCAAATAAAATTTGAGTGTCTGCTCTGAGGGAACACAAGAATGCTTCACTTTCTGCATTGCCTCATTACCATTGACTGGTAAAAGGGTTATAAATGTACCCATGAGAGCCAATGCCTCTGTGTTTTGGGACTCCTTGGATGCACTTGAGAGCTTCTTCCTTAGCTCTTCTAACAATGTTTTAGCTCTTCTCCAAACCTCTGAGGCTATTAATAAACACCTGAAAATCACTGATCTAATAAAACTCATGTCACTCCTTGGAACACTTAGACCTCTTTAACTTCCAATGATTTGCTCTGTTTGTGCAGCATACTCTGTTGACCTGAGTCCTTGCATAGTTACTGTGAAATAATGTGTGCTATTACCTCGTGATCCACAGAGTAACTTCACTGGGAGCAATGGTGATTACAGAGTAGATTGTGTTAATCTTCCCATGCTATTGTTCCCATGCTATTGTGTAATTATTCCAGGTCACCTGCGCAAATTAAAGTTGCTTCATAATTTTTCTTTTACTCTCTCTTTGCAACAATTGCCAGTTAGAACAGGGATGGTGTCTCAGCAGGGTATGTGGATCCAAGCCTGCCAGAGCTATGCATTGCTTTCTCTATGCAACTCTTATTTTTATGCTATCAGTAGAAAACTGATTAGAGGGGCAAAGGTTAAATTTGTCTACATGAACAGCTGCACCTCCATTTTTTCCTCATCGAAATCAAGCTTAATATTACACTGAATAGACCTCACACACAGCCTGTTGCTGAAATGCATTTGGCATCCTAAATTTACTACCACTCTTATATGTTATGAATTTTGAACAAGACAGACACAAGTTTGGTGAAACAGTGAAAAATCTCGAGCAGGATTTGAAGAAGGCTGTGGCCAAAGCCTCTCATAGCAATCAAAACTCAGCCATAAGCTATGGTCAATGAAGTATTTGTTCTGGGGCCAGAAAACGCAAGTCACCAGAGATGACAAGATGTGATTTTTTGCATAAGCAATAAAGTCTGCACATCCACAGTGCAACAAAAAACTGCTAGGGACATGACATGACATGTCCTGACATGATTTTCTTTAGTACCAGCCTGAGTTGCATGCTAGAATACAAAGAATAAATTACATGATACATAACCAGCTCCCATCAGTGCTCCAGCGACCTATGAAGCACTATTTAGGCATGCCTTTCCAGTGACACTCCTGTCTCCAATATATCACACAACATAAAGAGACACACATATCAATGTGCACAGTATCATCCTTGTGCAGAAAATTTCACAGTTAATTAAAAAAAAGTCAAATATAAGTAGACCATCTCCTTACTAAACTAATTAAAATATAAATACATAAGCCCTGACTGAGTTTTTGACAGGTCATTAAAAGACACAAAATTGAGTCAAGTACAAGGACTAGTTTCAATACATAACAGAGTGAAATTATGATATAAAATGTTGAGGTTGAAGTTAAATTAACTCTCATTTTGTTTCCACTGTTTCACACCCTAGTGTCAGTGTCTGGATTTACACAGTGCAGCTCTCCAAAGAAAAGGCTCAGGCAGTTTATTTTGTGAAATCAAATATGCCAATTACTGTTTTCTTCTGGCTTTTAAATATGTATCCCCAGCAGCAAAAGCAGCTGTGTGTATTCCATGCAAAGCCTTTTTGACCAAAAATTGTGACATAATTTTCAATCCTCTGAAATATTTTTAGCAATAAATATATGCTCTCACCACTCCAGGTATAGCCTTTAGAAATAACTTTGGTTAGAAGTGAATCAGTGTTTTTGGTGGATCAGCTTAAGGTTTCCAAGCAAGATTAAGATCAAGAATTTTCCTTGTAAGAGCTTTAATATTGTGTGATTTAATATTGTGCACTGGGCTGTCACCCTGGTAATCCTTTTCTTTCACAAGGGAATCCCTGTCCTGAAGATACTCGTGGTAGCTTATCCAGACCCTTTTCAAGGGAAAATAAATATTTCACTTAGTGAATTAGAATAGATCTGACTTCAGAAGGTTAGTTTGGTGCTTGCTTGTAAAATACCCTTCTCCTGTTACATTGGCAATGAGTTCTCCAACATAACTCAAAAAAACCCAAACAAACTGAAAATGTGTGGATGTAGCCACTGTTAATATTTTCCTGTTGACCTTGATTTATGAACAGCATAAAGAATGTCCTAGATTTCCTTTGAACTACCATTTGGAGGGCCTCAGGAAGATTCCCTGTATTGTTTGGAGAAAAGTGGGGGATGCCACTGTGAATGAGAATTCTGCTTCCTGGCATGTTTCAGCTTCCGTTTACTGACATCCCACATATATTCACTTGTATACAAGATCCTAGAAAAGCGTGTGTAATATAGTTTTCAGCTGAATTGATTTCCAACGCAATTTTTGGCCTGCCTATAAATTGGTACAAGCTCAGTTTTTATGGATCTGGACTTGAGGGACCTTATTTCCTGGCGCTGGGAAAGGAGACAGGGCCATCAAAGCTGTGGTCCTTGCATGGGCATAACAAGAGCACCTATGCTGAGCCACCAGGATGAGAGAATATCCCGGGGGAGGTTCACCTAAGGATGTAGGAGTTTCTGCCTCAGGGCTTGTCTGCTTCAGGAGTTCCCCTGTGGCAAGCAGAAATGTGAACTCTGTTAGCCCAGAGTTTTATAACAGCCCTTGGAGAAGATGCCCAAGGAACTGCTGTGAAGCAGAGAAATGCTATGGAGTCATATTCTTGCTTATTGCTGATTCCCACTATGCAAGAGTCCCCAAATCTGTTTCCCCAGCACTCAAGCTCCCCGCCCAAAAGACTCAGGACTACGGACAGTTGTCCTGGCTGCTGTGGCCTTCAGGATTTTCCTGTGCTTGTGCATGTGTCTGCTTCAAGAAGCCAGAATCCTGCACTAACCTGTGCCTTGAAGAAAGGGATCAATTCCTAGAAAATATCTTAGTCAAAAAGTTTAGACATGATTTTTATTACTTAGTTAATGATCTAGTAAAAGTGAGGCCTAAGAAAACATGGCAAATATGTATTAATGCCAGATCTTCCTCATTCCCTATTCTCTTCTACTGCCTCTACATCAGATGAGACTCCTTTTTATCCCTAGCATTAAGTTTTTATCACTTTACTAAAATACTATAAATCAATAAAATAGGGCAGAAAATTGCTTTCTTACATCATTGCACCAACATGCCGCTTGTATGGTCTGGAATGACAATGAGACATCCATCTTTCTGTGCAAAAAAAAAAAAAAAAGCTAGTTCCCAGAACAAAATGTCAAGTAGTATATGGCTAAAAAATTTACAGACCAAACATTAGCTCTGCTGAGATGAGAAATGCCTGCTTCACATTTCTAATTTTTTGAAGATGAAGAGAAAATTCTAATTCTCTAACCACAAAATATTGTTTATAAATTAGTTTTTTAATTCTGTCCTAAAACTCACTTCCTAGCCATTCTTCTTCCTGATAATATTTGCTTGGTTCTTATGCCAAGATCTATGAAGACCTCTTTTTCTTTTTTTTCTTTTTTTCCTTTTTTTAATTTTTAAATATACTCACTAGGGGGGATGCTCATAAAATTCAGCCTCAGCCACAATCTGGACTATGGTCTGCCAAGCTCCACAAAAATAAATCATCAAGTCATTTTGGCATCTTCTGGGCCAGGAGGAATATCTTCGGGGTAGATTTAAAGAGACATTATCCTGTAAAGTATATCCTTTGTGGAGAAAACTAAGCAGCAGATTAAAGGCTAATTTGAATTTCAGATAAAGAAATTCTTATAGGTAACAACAACAAAACACAGGGAAAGATGTCTTAATTCTGAAATTACAGCTGTGATAGCTAATCTTCCCTGCTGCTGTCCCAGCAGAAATTAAATCAAATACCCAAGACCTCAGGGTACTTTGAGAGAGTGATACTGGAGATGCTGATTTTGTGCTAAAATGTCTGCAGAACACACAGCAAGTGGCTGTTTGAGATTTTCTCTTAGCAATCTGAATGCTGAAACAGGGATAAAGCAGCCAAACATTTCTTGGCTTTGCACTTTGCAAAGCCAATGTAAACACTGAGACACAAGAGCGCTCCAGCTCCGGAAGAGCGAGCTGGGGTTGGTGTGATAGTGTGTTGGCCTGTCAGCTGGAGGCACCTCTCTCCCTCCCTTACACCCTGGGGAAACAAAACCTCAGCTCAGTTAAAGACAGCAACAGTGCTCTGCAAGGGCCCCAGGCAGGGTGGCCAGTGGGGCAGGAGCACTGGGAAGGACTTGTGCCCTGCAGCTCGGGCTCAGAGCCGAGTCCTGGGCATGGGGTGTCCGTGCTGGCTGGGAACGATCGCTGTAGCTGGCTCTGAAACAGAGCTTTGTTCACCTACCCCGTGTGGCAGGCATCTAAAACAAGGACATGTAAATCAGATAATAGTCGAGAGAAAGCAAGCTCTAGCTGGTTTGTCAAGAGGAGGCCTTGGGCCATGGTCCCGTCTGCCATTCACAGGTCACTGAAATCAGTGGAGCTGTGACTGCAATTACACCACAGGGAATCTGGATCCTATTATTTGGACTGTGGGAAGTTCCAGAACAGTAACAACATGGAGGAAAATTGCCTCATTTTAGGTTTCATTAAAATCCCCAACTGGGACCAGGTTCATTGGCAGGTTCTAAAGTGCTGTTGGTTCCTGAGAACATTGGAGAGGTGTGGGTGGGCAACAGAGAAAAGTCAGGCAAAAATTAATGTCTTCAGCTGGGCTTGAAGTGCCCAATCTAGAATGGCACTCATGCATAGATCAGAGTTGCAGCTGAACCACTGACTGCCTGAAGGAAATTTCCAATCTGTCTTTTAACTTCTGAAAAGCAGAGACACTTAGCTGCAAAAAATTTGAAATTTAGAAATTATCTCGGGAATTGTGATTGGGCCCCTTGTAAGTAACAATGACCTCCTGAGACAAAAATGAAATCTGAAAATCAAAACTTCAAGGAGTCTCAGGTCATAGTTTTCACAAAAATATTTTACTAAAACTGTATGTACCACCAACTATAATGGCTAGAGATGCTCTTTTAAATACCTGTTTTAAGTGGTCTAATGCTATTGAGAATGCAAAATGGAAAGAAGCATCAGATACTCTTTCTGGGTTACTCTGAAATTAAATCTTTGGGGTTTAGAACAGTGGCACAAAGTAATTAATGTGCTGCTGGTAGTCTTTATATGCATTTCTGAATTGAAAAGAGGCACTCAGAAATACATGCCAGGCAGTTACAGGTTAAGGATCATTTACATAAATTAGCAAATTTGCAAATGAATTCATCTAGTGAAAAGTAAGACACGGGACACTGCATTTTAATAATTGACATTCCACATGAAATGCAATGTTCTTGAGGAGGAAATTGAGCTCCAGGTTGCTATTAGAACCAGCGGAGCAGCAAGAGCTGGAAAGAAATGCCATCTCATATTATGTGAGTTACTGCTCCTGCATAACAACTATCTTCTATTCTGATAGACTTTATTTTAATAAAACTGTACTAGGATTTTTACAGGGATAAAATTACATCGTCTACAACACTGGTCAAGAAACAAAAACGCAAGAAATCTTTGTGATCTGGTTGTAACAGTCAGCTAGTAATTCATTGTATTCTAAAGTAACCTTTCTTGTTCTATTTTATTTGGCAGCCAAATCTCCTTACTCTTCCGTTATACCAAGTAGTTACAATCTTAGCCCCAAATATGCAACACTGACAGAAAATTATAAATTATCTAATTTTTTTGTTCCCTGTCATAACACAGGTTAAATTGCAAAATAAAGATAAGTGATCCACTTAGCTGCTTCCTGCTGTCCTGATCAGTTTAAGAACACATTATGTTACAAATATTGTTCTTGATACAAAAGTAATGACTTTCATAAGGTGTTAGTCAGTCATTCAAAGTCACAATACTTCCATTGTATGCCATAAATACAAATTATACGCTCATGGAAAGCTGAAAGCAAATCTGTCCCTAGTAATGTTTCTTAGTATACTTTAAAGATTAATTTAAAGTGAACCAAATAATTCAGTGATACTCTTTTTCCAAAATCACAGAGTGTGTCATTTCAGAGAATGCCAGTAAAATTTCTCCTCTTGTAATATTCCTAAATATTGATAAAGTGTTTGTTCTTAATCTGGTTACAACTCTGACATCATGCAAAGGGTACTGTGCTAAACTTCCTGAGATGGAAAGATAAAGCAACAAACTATTGCTACTTGAAAACTATGTTTGATATTTGGTTGCCCTTACATAGTTTTCATTCTGTTCTGATACCATTTATTGCAGCAACCTGGGCAAGCTTACTAAGTTCTCTACCCCTTCATTTATCTCCCTTTTTTTTTTTAGAATCCTGAGACATTTTAATTCCTGAATAGGATGAGAAGTCCCTCCAAATGAATCAGCTGCATTAATAATAAATCTTTATCAAATGATTCAGCTGTTTGAAATACGAGCAAGATTCTTACCTGTGATGAGCTCAGACTCAATAAATGGGCAGGCTGACACCCTTTCTTTTCAGTATTTTGACATACTGTGGTGCATACATAGGTACAGGTAGAGCAGATACACAGGTTGCAATGATACCCTGATAAGGAAAACTTGCTTCCCTCACTGGCACAGGAGCAAATTTATGTAACTCTCATGCCCTTTGGTATAGTCTTCTGAGAAGTATTCTCCTGTACTGATTAACAGACTGAATGAAGAAAGCTTCCATTTTTAACTTCATTCTTCATGACATAAAAATAACTGCCACATATTAATGGGAACAGTCATGTGGTGGAATTATTTTACAAAAAGAAGACAGTTTTTGGACATTTTTCCCAACTTAGAATATTCTTTCCAAAGCAGCACTGTAACTTAGGTCAGATAGTCCCTAAGTTGTATCCAGTGCAGAGCAGTCCATAGCTTTGCAGAAGTCCATAGCTTCACCAAAGACTTTACCTTTAAGAGTGCAGTAACAGGGTAAATGCTTTGCACCAGGATGTCACTGATGGATCTGAACAGCTTTTCATGTATGCATGCTGCAAACTCTTTATATTTTTACATTCTAATAACAGTGAACAGCATAAATTATCTCTAATTCTTGATTCTGCAAGGAAGCAGCCATCTGGTCTAATACCACTGTGACAGTGATATAGGACTGAACACTCTGTGCTTGGTCTGCTGCACAGGAAAGGACAATAGGACATATTTTAAAATGTCAGGATACATCAGAACCATATTCAGGAAAGTTTGCATTTATGAAAATTGATAGTATTGGAGATATATCATGATGCAGACCTAATCATGGATGCTGGTATGGTGAATTAAATTAAGAGCTGATTTGAATTTTTCTAATTAAAGACGTGTTATTCCTTCTCTCCTCATGTTTTCTATTTTGGTAAAAGAAGCTTATTAAACAATTTTCAGGAAAGTGTTGTGATTCAAAGTATTAAGGCTTTAGGGGAAAAAAAGCACCTTAATGTCAGTGGTTGTTTGACTATCTCAGTGCAGTATTCAATGGGCATGCATTTGTATTCCAAAATCACTGCTGGTGTTTGGATAATTGTTATTGTAGATGGATTTGGTAAGAAGCATACCCAGGTACTGCAGGGTAGGGTGGCATGTAGGCACAGCAGCTTAGCAGAGCTGGGATGAGCCTGTTTTCAATGCCTAAAGCACAAACACTAGAAATGGAGGAAGGACAAAAAGAAAAATAAATTTGTCTTATCCCATTTTAAAAGTAAGCTAATTTAACATGAATTAGATCAAAACCTATAAACTCGTGGTTTGTCCCAACAGAGTCACTTTAACTTTGCTGTGTACTTAGATACCTAAGTAGCTTGTTTATATAAGTTTTTTGAATAATGCCAGATATTTTTCAAGGCTTCAAGATATCAGGAACTTAGGAGTACAATTTATAGTACAATTTATATTTTTTTCCATCATTAGTTGTAATGATTTTAAGAAACTTAATGTATTAGTTAAAAAATAAGCATGAAATCAGTTTTTTTCACAGTGTGAAAATTTGTTAACCTAGAGACATCAAAGAGTTAAATATTGTATTGGGATTTTTGAAGGGACTTCTTAATTTTATGACCAATAATATAATTTGTAATTTTACATACTAGGAGGGGCCATCAAATTCATACTCGAGGGTGTTAGCTGATCACAGGGATAAGAAAGAGTCATCTCAGCCCTTTTTTCCATGGAGGACATGGCATAATTAGCCAGCTGTTTTCTTTGAAGCACCTAACCCAGGCCACTGGCAAAAGCAGAATTCTCAGCCTATAGAATAATTGATCCAGTCTGGCCTGGTCTTTATCTTCATTTGTTTACTCTTAAAATACATACTCTTCAGATCAAAGATGGGGCATTTTTGAGTCTTTCATTTTGCTTTCTGCTTACAAGCATGCCAGAGGCATAAATTGTGTGAGTCCTTACAGAAGGTGGTTCTTCTGAGCTTGTGCCAGCATATTTCCTAGTTAGAATTGTCCAATGCTGTGACTAACTTTAAGGCTGTATATAGAGAAGTACTGCTTGCAGGATGTTGTTCTTAAACATGCCATTTTTTCTAACTCAGGTTATCAAATGCTAAAGCACACTTGTATTGTTCAATCCTTCTTGCCTTAGTAGCTCACCTTGCTACTACCATAACATCTCATAGGTGCTGGAATGCTGCTCTCTGGAGTACTTGTTTCAATGCAAATATAAAAGGATTTATGAAGGGGAAATTAGACATAAACAAAAGCAATTTAGCCCAGTTCCTTGCTTTTGCAGCAACCATCTCCTGTCATGCTTCTGCTCCACAGCATCAGAAGTAGTCTTTGCCTATACTGTGGGCAAAGAGCGCACGTTCAGAAGGAAGTGTGGGAAAGTGTGTGAAGGCAGATCTGTCATCATGTTGCACACCATATTTTTGAGAAAAAAATGCAAGCTCTGGCTAGAGTCTTGCATTTTGTATGAAGGAAGGGGGAAGCTTCCATGTGCCACAATGGAAATTGTCAGCACCTGCATGAGTAGGTAAGAGGTAAAAGTGGGAAACAAATTGATCTATCTTTGTTTAAAGCTTCATATCAGAGTTTGAGGGGAGGGAGATAAAAAAAGCAATGTTACCTTACAGTCATGATAAAGTTTCTGTAGATATTTCATTTTTCCTCTTAACTATCAGATAGATCATATAAAGCAAATCTTCTAAAGATGATTTCCTTGGGGGGTTTCTATTACAATACCAACTGGTTATAATCTTCTAAATTCACACAAACAATACGAAAGGTTATGAATTCAGTTATTCTATGCTTTACCATTACTCTATGCCTTAAACATATGCCAAGAAACCAACTAACCCATTGGTCTTCACTCTTTAGTTGCTTTGCTGTTTCAGAACCAGAGTCAAATCTAATCAAATCTGTCAGGATCCATGAAATCCTAAGCTCAAACTACTTCCTGTTTCTGGCAGAAAAATCAAAAGCAATACTAGTTCTCCAAAGCCCCATCAAATGGTTTCAATACCAAAAGTTTTAAAATGCTGTCTCTGAAGGTAGGGGACAGAAATTGGATAAGAACTCATGCTTTTTGATACCACCATCAGTTTGTAAATGCTGAAATCAAGTTTTGAAAGTTTATGAGTTTTAAATTTATTTTCTCCTCCTATATTTTACACAAGGATCCTCTGTGACTAGGCAGTGCACCAAAAGTCATGCCTGAAGCTTTCTAGGTCATTGTTGCCACAGAGAGCCACAGGAAAAGCTGTGGTCCCCTTCTGGTGCTGCCTTTGCTGGTTTCTGACAACTGTGTGAGCCCATTCAAAATACTGAACTAGCAGAAAACTAGCTTGAGAAGAAAAATGTTATCTTTTAAATTCATTTTGTGAACTGAATGAACAGAACAAAAGGGATGAGGGATGGGAGATCCTCCAATATCTGTTAACCAGACTCAGGAAATGCTAATCGAAGTTTACAACAGAGATCCTACTGACAGGTTGCTGTGTAAGCAGGAGAGATCTGTTATTTGTCATCAGAACTATTCTGGATAGAAGCTGGAGGTTCTCATTAGCATGAATTTGTGAATAGTAATGAACTAAAAACTGGCATTATTTTCCTAGTCTGGAAAGTGCAAAATAGGTTTTATGTGCAATTAATTAGAATTTCTATAGGTTTAGTTGCAGAAACTCAAAGTATGGCCCACATAAAAGAGTTGCTGAGTAATTTTTGTAAACTGTATATTAAAGGGTGAATTTGAAAATCTTTTTGAAAAGTCATCACTGCAGTAGTTGGAATAATCATTCTCATTTGTTACTTATGTCATGTATAGAAACATGACAAGAAAGACAAGGAAAGAAGGAAGGAAAAGAAAGAGGGAATCAAAGAGTGGCAAAGAGAAGCTGAAGGGGAGAGGTGAAAGCAAATTTCCATATATTTTCTAGTAGAGTTTTCACTAAAGGACTCATTTGAGTATCAGAGGATGTATGTAGAGGATAATTACCTAAGGACAAGCCAAATTCTTCAACATTTCTGTAAAGCCAAGGAAGAGGACTATGAACTGCTGTGGGCACCTACACATGTCAGGACAGCTAAGTGGGGTTTGGAATCAGAAATACAAATGACATGGTTTTTATGATACCCTGCTGTCCTGCTAGCAAGTGCTTTACGGTCCATCAATCAGTCACTCAAGTAGTCAAAATCTTTAACCACATAAAAATCCATTGAGAACAAGTTTTATTTACAATGGTGACCTGGCCAAGAAAACTCACAAACAGCAATATGTAACATCACTACAGACATACAATCACTGTTGTATATTACTAGAAAGCTCCCAAACATATCATGAGGCATAAATCAATTATATAAAATACCACAAACATCAAATAAACCAATAAAAAAGGGAAGGTCATAACACAACCAGACATGTAATGAATAACAGCCGCAAATATCAGCCAGTGTTTCATCCACGGTATGAATAAAACCCCAGAAGATATACAAGCAATTTTTTTTAGATCCTTTTGTGTTCTGTTAGAAATGTGTTACTGACTTTTGATGTTGTCTATTTTAAAATATTACTTCTTTTTATATTTCACCAAGGGCATAAGTTAAAGTTTTAAAGTCTGTATTAATTAAAATTGTAAGGGTTGGTTTGTTTGTTTGCAATATAAATGTGCATTTTAGCTTATATGTTTTGATTAACAATTCATTGCATATAGTTCTGTGATTGCTTATAATCAGTAATATATTGTATTTAGTAATAAAGTTCAAAATATTATTAAGTTTGGTATACTTAAAGAAGCTGGACATAGAACACAGTGGCAGGCACAGTTTGTTATCATTGTCATTGTCATGTGGGTGTCTCCCCTCCAACCCTGCCCTGAATTGTGAACATAATTCAAAAGCCATGATGATTTGAAGAACACTGCCTCCAGGTATCCAGGATCTCTTAGAATGTGTACCACTATTTGTATATTAGCAACAAATACAAAACCAACATTAAACTTGGTCCTTAGAGAGCTGAGAGCTTATACATGGAACAATATATCTGTAATGATTTGGTGTGATGATTGCAATCAATCCATTTTGAACTGCCAGATCATGGATTTTTTAGTGTTTATATGTTTTATTCCCAGAAGTCCAT